GGAAGGAGGTTTCGGCGGTTGAGAGAGAGAGAGAGAGAGAGAGAGAGAGAGAGAGAGAGAGAGAGAGAGAGAGAGAGAGAGAGAGAGAGAGAGAGAGAGAGAGAGAGAGAGAGAGAGAGAGAGAGAGAGAGAGAGAGAGAGAGAGAGAGAGAGAGAGAGAGAGAGAGAGAGAGATGATTATTCTTGAGTTTTCTCTTTAATGTTCTTGAGAAGTTTAAGAGAAAGTTAAGAGAATTTGGAGTTTGATTTGTGAGATTTGAAAATAACGAGTGAAGTTGTGTTGAAATTTGAATTTCATATATTTATAGTATTTACTCCAAAGTCTTGTTTGGCTTGATAAATGCTAATTTTTGACTTATTCTGTGTACCAGTCAACATCGAACCCCCAAACTCAAGACATACGGTGTAGAATCCTGATATGCGGCCTTAAACAAAATCATCGGTGACAAAATTTGTGACGCAGTGCCAAAAGAATCGCTCTGATACGATAAAAATTAAGCAAGTTACGATGCTCTGAACGACGAGAACTCGGTATAAAAATTCACAGTGCAAATTTTTCCAGCTTATTTTGTGTATTATTCGCAAACAAACCACAAGCTCATGACTTTCGATACAGAATCCTGACGCGCAACCCGAAACAAAATAGTCGGTGATGAAATTTGTAACGTCGTGCCAAAAGAATCACCTCGATACGATAAACATTAAGAGAGTTATAATTTTTCGAATAGCGAGAATTAGTGGACTTATTTTGCTGTCTTGAAAATTTTAGCTTATTTTCATGCGCACTTTAGGAAGCAAGCCACAAACCGAAGTCTTTAAAGCACAATTCGAACTTGGGACCTGAAGCAAAGTTGTAGCTAACAAAATTTGTGATCTCACGCTTTAAGAATCGTCCTGAATCGGTAAAAATTGCGAAAGTTATGAATTTTACAATACTGAGAAACAGTCTGGTAGAAAACCATTTCGGGGGTGCAATTTTCTCTGGTAATTCACATTTTTGAAGATCTTCTGCAAAGAATTAACTTCTGATACGAACATAAGAATCTAAGATAAAATCAAGACAGATTTTTCGCCCAAAGAATCATCCAAAAATGTCGAACCGGGCGAAAGTTATGAATTTTTAATATCCGATAAATAGAGGTTCAACCCATTATTTTCACGGCATTTTCATTGTATATCTTCAAAGTATTCGCACATTTGGAAATCCTCCTTAATAAATTGGCTTCCGAGTCGAACACAAAGATTAAAGTAAATAACAAGATGGTTCAAATGCTTAAGAACCAATCAAAGATAATTTTCTAGTCAGAAGTTACAAATTTTTATGCATCCGAAAAATAGCGAACCATCAGATCCACTGTATAATGTGATTTTAGGTATTTGACGCTTTTGAAAATCTTCTTCATAAAATTAGCCTTCGATTTGAACAGATGAACTGGAGAATATATCAAGGCGATTCTAAATATAGAAGAACCATTCCCGAATCATTTTCTGGTCTCATGATATGAATTTCTAAAGTCGAACCACAAAATACTGAATTTTTGTCTACACTATCTCAAAATTGATTGAAACACTTGAATTTCTGCACAATTCAAAGCGTGTTGAAACGCATGAGAGCTTGATATGATGATGACTTAATTTTTTGTTAATTGAATAACTTTGAACACATGCAGAGTGCATTTAAAATCCAAAAAATCTCAAGTTTTACTTCACAATGCTGATTAACGAAACAGTCATTTTTCACATTTTTTTCTTGCGGAGAAAAGCCTTGATCTCATTAGTGTAGACCCTATGACATGTATATATATATATATATATATATATATATATATATATATATATATATATATATATATATATATATATATATATATATATATATATATATATATATATATATATATATATATATATATATATATATATATATATATATATATATATATATATATATATATATATATATATATATATATGATGAAGTATAAGCCAATTAGGGTTAAAATGAAGAAGGTAAATTTTGGGATACAACACCAGTCTCAAAATTGATCTCATAATACATCACTTTCAACAGGAATGACACAGTCTGTGATAGCTTATCTCATAAAGTGTAAACTTTCAGCAAATTTTGATTCCATTAACATAAGGATTCATAAAAATAAGGTTTTTGAGGAGTTTGGTCATATGAGTTTGTTTGAGAGGAAAGTGGGATAGTTTCAAACTCAACGTTAGATTAGGGAATGTTAACAACATATAAATTCTCATAATTAAACAATTATTTTTCAATTCTTAAAGAATTAGCTGGAGAAACATAGGTTCTTTACAAAGATTCATCAAAATTAGCAAAAACATGTATGTCAATTTGACTTAAAACAGAAGGTGAGGTATTTTTGGGTAAATTTGCATAGGCATATGAATGTTTGAAGAGGCTGAGTTCAGAAGAAGAAGATGATTATTGAGTGGGTTCTTTTGTAGTTTCAATTTCTTTGTGTGCTTCTAGTTCAAAAGTTTCAGAGGGTTAATTCAGAAGCTGTTATGGTTTCTGGATGTTGAAAAATTTCAAGTTCTTTAGATGGTTTGATATATTACCAAAGGTTTTACTTTGAAGAGGTTTTTGGTGATCTAAAAAAACTATTAATGGAGCAATAATATTAGTAGGATCAAAAAGAGTAGAAGTTATAATATTAGAGGACTTACAGAGATCCTGACTGGGAATGACTTTGGCAGATATAGACTCCATGTTCTGAGTACCCAAACCTTCAGCAGAAATCTTTTTAACAAAATATTCTTCAGATATAAGATCTTTAGAAATGAGTTCCTTTGAACCTTGTTTGCTAGAAAGAGATTTTTCCGAGACATGTTCCTCAGAAACATGTTTTTAAACATGTATTTTTTTTTTAGAATCTGATATGTGGATTGTAATATTGTTTTAGTCAAAATTTGCTAAATGGAGATATTGTTAATTCTTTGTTTTTGTTGTTTACATTAATTTTAGTCAAACTAACTTGGCATTAACATGATGAGCAAGATGTTTCAACTTGCAGTTTCAATATGTCGAAGCTGATGTCCTAACCAGAAGAGTATGACATCCGATATATTACAATTTTTACAGTTTGAATACAGTTGATTTAAATTACTGAATATTTTGTGAATATTAAATAATCTTATATGGTGTCCAAGACCGGATCTGTTTCCTTATGTATTTAGAAGATTCATTTATTTCATTAAATGTTTAGACATTTTAGGAAACAATCATTGAACTCTTATTTTCATGCAGAAGTTTCTACTGATTTTCTACAACAAATCAGTTGCGTTTTGGAAACTCAAATGCAGTCCTCTCAAAGTTATAAAAAGAAGACTTCCACCCTATTACAAGTGTGAAACATATTGTATCTTTTAGTAAGAGTTTAAAGTTTGTGTTCTTGTGAATTTTGAGCCACTCTTGTGTTGTTTGATACTTAAGTTGGACTGTTTTATTGAGTTGTTATTGTTAATCATTTTTAAGCTTGTAAGCAGTGGATGATTGTGTGTCTTTGAAGTGTGTCTTCTAAAATTATTCTAAAGTATTTAGAGTTGTTCAATCACTGTTGTGATTGAATGAAATTTGAGAAGGATCTCATACCTAGATGAGTCTTAGGTAGAAGTTAGACACGAGTAGTGATTAAACAAGTAGATTGTAAACTGGTGAGAGTTTGTTGTGGATCTACACATTAATACTATCTAATTGACTTCATCCCTGACTTGGTAGCCCCCTGAATATGTGTTGTTGTACACCAAACCGGATTAACAATTTTGTGTGTTCCTTTATTTTTCTGCATTCTTTAATTGTTATACCTTGTCATTGGGTGTTTGTTCAAAAATCAGTAACTTGACATAGACATCTAAGATCTAAATACCAGAATTTCAAAAACTACCAAGCCAATCAAAGAATTCAAGAATGGCAGTACTACCACCAAGAACAACCACAACTTTTGAAGAATGCATTATAAAACTAACCTTAATAAGCAATATAAATCCAAAGTAATTTGCTTCACCAAGTTGTATAAGGTACCATGTTATACCATCATGCATACTATCATGGGATTTTGTATTTCATGAAAACCACAAAAATGGAAAAATCAGATAAGTAGAAGGTACTCAACCATGAGATGTGAAGTAAGAATATAGTGTGATTAGAGCAATGAAAACTTCTTGACTAGTGTTTTTCTTCTTTCTGATTTTGCAGTAGCATAGCTTTCTAAAGGAAGCTTTAACTGGACCGTCTCACTGAAGTCAATTTCCATGAAAAAACAACAATGTTTCAGTGCACCACACACATTCAATAGAGAATACACAGTTTCACTAATGAACAGAGAGGGTAAATGTTCGAGTTAAATATTCCAGTACAATTGAAGATTCAATTGAGAAAAACATACTAAGAAGCTTAGATTGAACTGAACAACCAGAAACCTGAACTAGAAGTTATGTAGAGTTAAGCAATTTGTTGGCTAATCTAATTTGAGCAAAACAAAAAAGAGAGTATTCTACATGAAAACACATACCAAACAATTGTTTCTCCATAGTTGCCAACTCTAAAAGGATAATACTATGTTTTGAACAATTACAAAAACTAACAGCCTTTACATTTTCAGGATATGGAACAATTCCAACATCTGGGCTATTCAAGCATATTTCAAAGTAGATCCCCAATCCGGATCAACTTTCTAGCCTTAAATTATTCATAACTATACCATTTGGTACACATGGTCTCTCCGATATTTGGTTTACACTAAACATATTTTTCCAGCTTATACTACTCATTGTGCAAAGTGAACCGAGACAGCAATGCTGAGGGTTCGAAGTTATAAAACAAAACTGTTCAACACTAAGATTTCTAAGAAGGAAATATGACAAACTGTCATTTCCATAACCCACTCAGCAAGAAAATCCACAACTGCTTCTGTTACAGTTTCCCTATCCAGCAAAAATTTCAGATACTTGTCTTTTGAATGACATTGAGCACCCTATGCAAAAGCAGTGTGCTGTTGAAGATCTTGAACCCAATCAGAAGGCCACCAATCTGGTTTACTTGCGACAACCTTCACTCCCTCTTGTCCTTGAATGGATAAGGCAGCGGATCCCTTTAAAGCTTCCTCTAACCGCAAGAGTCCCAACCCACGACATCCCATGGCAGTAGTCACTAAACCAGCTTTCTTTCCAGATGCTGTGTTTATTACTACTGAGCCAGGAATGATTTTGTTTACAACTTCTACAAAAGCAGAAATGGAAAGGCTCGGAGTTCATTCACCATTATACAAAGTCATGGCATAGGTATCATAATATAAAGAAGACAACTATTTATTACCGTTCCCATCATTATCTTGAAACCTTAGAGGAACTATACGCTTCCGAATCACCCCTCTGTGGTGTGTACGAGCTATGAGTTCTTGTCCGACATAGCAACCTTTGTCAAAGCTGATTGCATTTAGGCCTACAAGATTATACTCGAGTGGCATTGCTTCACCTGAAAACGATCAATTAATCAAGATTGTCAGACTTAGAGGTAATCATTCTTCTTAAGAGGAGTTTGTTAGAAGAAAGGTGAATATGAACCTTTTGGAATCTCAGTTGATCCTTCTGCTACTCCCTTCTCCATTCTCCACATAAGGTAATTCTGTTCATCAGTCTCTTTGTCAGCCTCAATTAGAGGTGCTGAAACACAAAGGAATCATTAAGACCAAATATCTACAAAAGATTGCAGCCGGAAAAAAACACAAAATCTTATTAGCCAGCAAAGGTTTGGAAACTAACGAATGATATTTGATGGGAAGATCCCTCTGAAACCTAGACAGGCCAATCTGGGATCCTTAAACCATTGCCAGCCAAGATTACCCCCACGAGAAGATGACATTGCAGTGCCGTCCTCGCCAGCACCCCACCCAACAGAGGCTGCTTCCGGTTCTTCTACATCCGAGGAATTCTCAGGAGGCCCAGAACCATAACGCTGCCAACACGAGAATTCGCCAGCGACATTATCAATTTCAACCTTCGACCTCAGCCGGTATCTGCAAAGCTAATAACTTTAGGGTCTCAACAACCAAATCTCAGAAATAAAAAACAAAACAAGCAGTAAAGTGAAGGTACTGCCTACAACGCTGAGGATATTGTCATGACAGATCAACCTATCTATTTATTAGTCTATCTTTGTTACTAAAAACTATATTACCAATCTGTCTTCTATCAAAATACTTCCTAATAAGAAAATTGAGTTTTTGCTATGCATCTTGTTATCAGCCGCTTAATGAACATGTAACATGTCCATGTGGTTGGTGAGCGAATGTTGTTTTCTTAATGAAATACTTCTGAAAATTTTCTTTTTGCCACCAAAGAAATTAATGGGTTGAGTCACATATTAAGTTGTTCTTTTTAAGAGATTTTGTGGCATTGCCAAACATTGTGCAAACAGACTATCAACCCCGAAATTTCCATTCCATGATAAGACAACTCAATTACACAAAAAAAAAATCCAATAGCAGCCCGTCGGCTTTGATCTTTTGACTGTTATAAAATGAACAGTCAAATCAAAAGCGCAAGACCTCATTGAGTAAATCAGAACGGTTGATATGGATCAAACCGATTTTTTTTTCCTTAAATAAAGGTAAAATTTAAAAAACATTAACACTAAGACTATGTTTAGATATCATAAAATAGAGCGGAACGGAATGTAGCGGAGCGGAATAAACATTCCAAATGAATACTCCATTCCATTGTTTGGATATTTTTGGAGGGAAGAAGGCAAATTCCTCATTCCGCCCAAATAGAAGAGCAAGAAATATTGTGGTAAGTTAGGGAATTGATGGAATCCATACCGCTCCATCCGATTTTAAATGATCCAAACAATGAAATATCACTCTGTGCCATCTCATGCTCCATCCCGACTTAAAATGATTCAAACAATGAAATATCACTCCATTCCATCTCATGCCCCTCCGCTCAATCCAATTTCATCTATCCAAACAAAGCCTAAGCCAAGCCAGATGAACAACAGCAGCATGTGTGAGATTAAATTTCGCAAGTGCTCACTCAGTTCACAAAACACTACTCATTGGGCACACCCTCGTTATAAACACTAGCAAATTGTGTAAACTCTACTGTATGGAACTTAAAGGCATTTTCTCAATTTGCAACCAAACACATATTTCACACACATTCTTATTTGTTTCAACAATAAAGACTAAAAAAGGTTTAGGGCTTAGGGTTGGAACTTGGAGAGTAACATAACTACTACCTTACGTACGAGACTAACATGCGACACACTCTAAAGAGTGGTAATGGAACTATTATAAGTTCACGTACATGATCCCAAAGATCTCTATCTATTTACTACCTAATTGGTAATTGCCTAAAACAAATGCAAATGCCAACTAAATCATGAAATGATTATGATACAAAACAGAACAAATAAGACAAGCTCAATGAAAAGAATCAGTGACACTCACTTGGTAAAGGTTGCCAACAATTCATCCAAAACAGAAGCATCAACATCAGCAAACAATTCAAAGGGTTCATCAGGTTCTGAAGCAGGTCCAGTCCCAGTCCTGTTAAGCTTAGTATCCGAGCTTGGTGGTTTATAGAGAAAGAGGTCATAGAGGAATCTACCTTGCGGGGTTAACAACGCAGCATAAATAGGATGAACGGAGGTTGCAGGAACATTGGGTGTAGGCAAATTCGCGGTTTTATCGCCAATAGGTTCGCCAAACTTGCGTACATCGTTGGTCAATAGTCCCTGAAGGAATTTGACGGTGTCGGGTCCTCGGAATCGGATGACGGAGCGGGATTTTATGAGAGAGGCAACGGGACCTGCGGTTTGGAGTTGAGTTTCGCAACGGTGGTGAATTGCTCTGTTACAGTGTTTGGAAAATGAGAACACACGATTCATGGCTATTGCTTTTGTTAGAGTGTTTGAGAAGAATAAGGAAGAAGAAGAATGTGTTGATGTTGGCTTGGGTTTAGGAATTTACGAAAGAGATGAAGACGACGTGGTTTGTTGGTAGATTGACACGTTTGGTTAGAGATCGATAGGTGTTCGATGAAAGTTCTGAGAGAAATCCATACATATACTCTTCGCGACACTTGTGTTGTACGTGCCGACCAAACTTCTTCTTTTCCTTTTTCTTATGTTTTGTTTTCGATAGATAGGTGTTTTTCTTAAAAAAGAAAACTGTTTTACTAAAACAAAAATTAAATATGAGATCATGATTGAACAGCATACACAATCTACCCAGTTAGTTTAAATGTTAATTTGATTGACAATACAAATTTAATTAATTTATTTATTCATTTATTAATTATAAATTAATTTGTTTTAAATTTAATATTTACCTTTTTTTTTTATGAAATAAGTCTAAGATTTAGAGAAAAAAAAAAAAAAATTTTAATATTACTTTTTTCTAATTAATCTAATCAAATATTGATGTCTTTACTATTATCATAAATAAATATTATTCTTCAAATGCTAAAAATAATATAAATTAACATCAATAGTTAAAAGAAAATAATTGATGTTAACTAAATATTAAGAAAATAATTTATTTTAGAACAATTTATTTATTTTTAAATAAGTTCAATATTATTATAATAATATATATTTTTATAAATGTATATTAAATTGATTTTAGATTTTCAACAAAATATAATAAAAATTGTAAAAATAATAAATGTGTTTAATAAAAGAGTTTAAAGGAGATGTATTATAAAAAAACTTCCACTGAGTTCAAATAGAAATATATTAGTTTGCTATGTCATATAACATGATTGTGATTGGTTGACAGATGTATCATTCATTTTCTTTTAATAAAAGATTAATTTTTTATTCTAAAAGACCTAAAAATTACTGGCATAATTAATTTTCAAGTCCATTAACTCTTAACTAAAAAATGTTACACTTTAGTCCCTTAAAAATGATAAGTGTATTTTGTATCGCTTTTATAAGTGTTTTTTAGTCGTATTCCCGTCATGTTTTATTTGTTTTTCTTCCCTTTTCTACATTTTATACCTTGGTATTATGTTTCTGTCATTTTTAGGCCCTCATGATCATACAGGAAGAAAAAAGGATCAAATCGAGTGAAAAACGAAGAAAAAGCGTGAAAAACTAAAAGTCTCCAGTACAAAAACCATAGGCAGGTTACGAGTGCTTGTATCGCGCGTTACAGCCCGTAACAGGCTCCAGACTGGAAACCCCTTTGCGCACACGCTTAGTACAAAGATCTATGGTTTGTTACGGGTGCCCGTAATGTGTGCTACAGCCGTTGGGGAGTACTATATGACCGTTTAATGAGCATGTTATATGAAGTTGCCTGATTGTGTGTTGTGGATGTTTTGTGTATCTGTGTGACTGCCGGTTTAATCGATGGATAGGTTAGGATAGTGATTACTGGTCGTTAGGACGTTAGGTTATTCCGATCAGTTGGTAGGAAAAGTAGTAAGTTGTTGAAGTGGTCGTTTTAGGGGGGTTTCAACGTGATTGTCTTGTATGTTTGATGAACATGTTATAGGAAATATAGTTGTCTGTGGTTGTATTATTCTGAGCGATTAGTCGGAAGTTATGAATGGTAGTGGTGTGGTCGTTAAGATGTAGTAGCGTGTCCGTGTTGTTGGTCGAACTAGTGGTCGATGAAGATGCTGATGGTGTTAGGTACCGAGCGGCATATTAGGTTGTGAGGCGTGTCGGGGGATATATGGTGGATTGTCGAGCAGTACTAGGTTGCAGGACATGTCGAGGAGTATAAGTGGGTCATTATCCTGTTTTCCCCTGTGGGTGTCGAGGAGTATGGATTAGTTGTTAGGTTGTCCTAGTTGTTATGCATGTTGAGGGGCACATAGTTTCCTATCCCTTTTTGCTCGTACATGCTGTGTTTTGGTCGTTAACCGCGCGGTGCAAGTTATGGTTAAGTTGCTGTTTGATTATGTTAATGATTGAATCGTTGATTGATGTGATAGGCTTATGACAAATGTCGTTTTAGATTGAGTTGTTGTGATTGCTGTTTTCAATTCTTGTTGATAATGCGAAGTTGCAGGGAGTTTTAAATGATGATGAATTACCTCTATTTACTGGTAATAATGGTGATGTGGGCTTATGCCTTGCGATGGATGAGGATTGTTGTGAGTATGTGATAGTGCATTCATATACATTTGCATACTCTGTGATGACCTGAATTGGTAAACTGCGAAGAAGGCTTATGCCTTGTTGATGCCTCTATTTATTGGCAGATTTTTATGACGGGAGTTCTGCTCCATTGGTACCACATGCATTTGCATAAAGATGAGTTACATTCTGCGTTGCATTCCGAGTTGTTGTGTGATTGATTTTAATTGTGTTTATGTTGCTAAAGATTTGAGAAGTGGTGAATATCTATGAATTGATTCTCATGTTTTACTTATCATGTGTTTTATTATAATGTTCGATATCTCACCCCTTTTGTTTGAATGTTACCTCGATGTTGATAACGTGCAGGTAATCCAGAGTGAAGGCGGATTACCTTCAGTAGTTCGAGTCGGTGTCATTGCTCTGATACGTAACACTCGGGGGAATGAACGATTGTTGTTTATTTGTTGTTATTATTTCAGTTGATTGAACTTTAAGTTGTTGTTCATTAAATGATTTCTATTTGAAGTTGTCTTAGTTGGACAAAGATGTTATATTCCTTTAAGTTGAATATTATGACTCTGCTGCGTAGTTATGAAAGTTGTTGTTTCTTTTTAAGATAGAATTATGGTTGTTGTTAGTTCATTCAACCAGTCATGTTTGGTCGGCATAGGAGATGTCTTACGGGTTGGTATGTTCGTAGGATGATCTTGTGTGCCAGGAAGTAATGTCTAAGTCTCCTCGCCGCGTTGACGAGGGTCAAGGATACTTTCTCAATCTGTTGATACCTAACCTCGGGCCCTTGTAGCGCTTTGCTCGTGAAATATACTGGCTTCTTCCCTTCTGGAGTCTCACGAATGAGGGTCGCGCTTACGGCCTCGGCAGAAACGACCAGTTAAAGGAACAGGGTTTCCCCGTTCTCAGGTCGCGAAAGCACGGGCGATTGTGAGAGGCTTTACTTGAGATGGAGGAGGGCTTGCTCGTATTCCTCGGTCCACTCGAAAGCTTCCTCTTTGCGCAGAAGTTTGAAAAATGGTAGAGTGTGTTGCGCGGATTTTTCCACGAAACAGGAGAGCGAGGTGAGCATACCGTTTAGGACTTGTATGGATTTCTTAGAGCTAGGTGTAAGAAGCTCAGAGAATGCCCGACACTTGTCGGGGTTGGCTTCAATTTCCCGTTCAGTCAGATAGAAATCGAGGAATTTGCCCGCCTTAACCCCGAAGGTGTATTTCTCGGGGTTAAATCTCATTTTGCATTGTCACGCTTGGGCGAAGACTCTTTTAAGGTGAGCAACATGATCAGTTTCTATTTGAGATTTGATGATCATGTCGTCCTTGTACACTTCGAGCATATCACTGATCTTGTCGCGAAATACTTTGTTCATCATCCGCTGGTATGTCGCCCCGACGTTTTTTAGACCGAAAGGCATTACGTTGTAGTCGTAGTTGCCCGAGCTGGTCATGAAAGCGGTGCAATTCTTGTCGCTCATCGCCATGGGGATTTGGTTATAGCCCGATTAGGTGTCCATAAACGATAAAATTTTATAGTCGGTCAAGTTATCAACCGACATGTTAATATTAGGTAAAGGAAAAACATCTTTGGGACATGCTCGATTAAGATCAGTATAATCAACACATATTCTCCATTTTCCTTTATTATTTTTAACGAGTACAACGTTTGAGATCCAGGTTGAATACCGGGTCTCGGAAATAAAATTTACCTTTAGGAGATCTTTTACAACATTTTCAGCAGCCTCCGCTTTCTCAGGAGACTGCCTACGTCTACGTTGCACTACTGCCCTAGCGGCTGGATCAACGACCAGTTGGTGACAAGCGACCTCGGGGTCGAGTCTAGGCATCTTCGCAATGCTCCATGCGAACAGGTCCGCATTCTCCCGCAACCAAGCTTTGATTTTCTTCCTTGCCAAGTCGGGGAGTCTGATGCCGATATTCACGCCTTTGTGAGGGTCTTCACCGAGGGGGACAAATTCAAAGTCTCCTTCTAGGATGGGTCGAAGGAGTTCCTATTCGTTGTTGAGGACTTCATCCTTGTCCAAGCAGATGTCGAACAAGATTGAGTCGACCTTTGGCGGAGCTCTTTGTTCATCTATCAGAGTAGGCTGCAATTCAGGTCAAGCAGTAGTAGCTCTTTTGGAAGGTCAGGCTCTAGTGTCGACCATGCTCTGCCCCTTGGATGCCGTGTGAAAACATCTTCTGGAAGTCGAGATGTCTCCGTGGATGGTGGCGACGCGCCCTCTCTGGGTGTAGAATTTCATCTTCAGGTGGACAGTGAAGCACACAACGGTCAATTCGGCCAGCGTCGGTCTCCTTAGAATGCAGTTGTAGAGAGATGGGCAGTTGATGACCAGAAATAGCACCTTGATCTGTCGGGAGGCGGTTTCTTCCTCGAAGGTGACGAAAAGCTCAATGTATCCCCATGGTTTGGAGGTCGAGCCATTGAATCCTTGCAGGTCGGACCCCACGTATGGTGAAAGGTGGGTGTCATTGAGCTGCAAGGTTCTTAACAGATGGTTGTACATGACATCGACAGAACTCCCCTTTATCGACCAAGATGCGGTGTATGTCGAAATTAACCATTCTTTCCATCACCAACAAAGGGATGTTTGAGTTAGGGGCCCCTCCGGGCATCTCTTCAAGTTAGAAGGTGATTGGTTTCGATCTGCCTTTGACCCTCTCGAGCGTCACCCCTTGAGTCGGGGCCGTGTCGGCCAACTCGTCGAGCTTAATTTTTGTGGAGTTTATGGAGAGGTCGTTGAATCCCCCCTCCGGTTATGACCATGGCGGAGGGGAATTTCTCCCATCTGTTGTGCATGGACAAAGGTTCTTCCTCGCATCTGTCAGGGACGCAGAAGTCCTCTGACCTTGTTACGGAGAAAGCTATATGGATGGGGCCCGACTCGTCTGATGGTCGGATTTCTTCCTCGACCTCTTTCGCCTCGCGGGTATCCCGACGAGGGGCGTTGTTCCGTAGGTACTGCCTGAGTCTGCCACCCTTGATGAGGGTTTTAATGGCATCCTTGAGGTGGACGCAACCTTCAGTCAGGTGCCCGTGGCTCCGATGGTACTGACAATATTTTGTTCTGTCAGCCCCGGGCTTAGTAGGGGCAGGTCGAGGGCACCTGACACCGTCGTCATTGAAGTCGGTATTTGAGCACTTTGTCAGGATGCGCTTGCAGAAGCGGTCGACATAGTGTATTCAGTGAATCGCCCTACGGGTCCCATGTGCTCGCGGGGATCACACGATTTATCATCCCATTCGCTTCTCGCACGTTCATCAAGGAGGGCATGCGTCTTGGTGTCGCAGGGTGTTGGTAGGTCTGTGATTCCTCGGGTCACGGGATTTATTGGCTGCTTCCCTCTCCTTGTAGTCCATATAGGCCCTAGCTTTTTCGAGGAGAGCATCGAAAGTTCGAGGTTGTTTGATGCCGACGGCCTTCCTGAACTCAGTGCCTGGAGGAGTACTCTCTCGAGCAAATATCTTTTCATGTGATCGGTACACGATACCTGAATGGCCTCGCGGTTGAACCGATCAATATACTCCCTGAGGTTTTCGTCGCTTCTTTGGACGATAGCCTCAAGAGCGGCCTCAGTCTTCGGATGTCGACGAGTCGCTGTGAAAGAGCTGATGAACTGCTTCTTTAGGTTTCTCCAGGAGGTGATTGACCTTGGGGAGAGATTCTTGTACCAATCCATTACAGTTTTTTCTCAAGGTTGTGGGGAACAACCGACATTTGATCGATCCTCCGACGTTGTAATAATGGAGAATTGCCTCGAACCCGTCGATGTGGTCGATAAGGTCTATAATACCGTCATATTCCTTCAGTTAAGGAGGTTTCTCCATTCCCCTGGAAATGGGCGCCTCCATGATTGCTTGTGATAAGGGACTGCGGGGGTCATCTTCGTCACTCCTATAGGGAGAATGGGAAAGGGACCGATTGTAATGGCGGTTGTAGTGATGGCTTTGGTCTCGGGGAGGATCCCTTGGTCGAGGAGGTGTTTCTCTGTTTCCCCTGTTTCTATTTTCAGGGAATCATCGTTTCCCGCACGGGGGGGAAGGGGGTAAGGCCGCGTCTCCCGGTAGCTTCGGACAGTGGTCTCTCCAAAGCGGGGCGTCTCCCAGTCCGTCGGGGAGAGCGGCTTAGTGACCTGTCCCGTCTGTGTCTTCGCGGGAGAGACTGAGGATGGTCTTCGTTCTGACGGGAAGGTGGAGTGTCAAGTCTTCTGTGTCTTCCGGGGGCTCGACGAGAATCCTCGAGCATCCTTAATCGTTCACCTTGGGAGAAGATTAAGTAATTTGTTTGATTAATGGCTGCGAACACAATCCTGGTCGTGGCGTTAGCGCCCGCGCGAATGGGGGACCTCCCGGAAAACGTTCGGCTCATAGTTCTTGGGCGGATGGGCATCTTCGTGTGGCCGAGAGCGGGATGATGAAGAGGCGGTCATACCGTCTCTATAATTCTGCATGACACTGACCATGTCGATGTCGTTCTCATTGTTATTGTTCTGGCCCATGTTGTCGACGACGTTGTTGTTGGGGTCGGCGAGATGGGCGTTTAGGTTGTTGTTGGCAGCTGAGTCGGCAATGACAATCACAGAGTTTGATGGTTGCTTTAGTCTTAGGTAAATGAAAGATGAGGAAACTTATTTTCCATAGACGGCGCCACTGATCGTACCTGACCAGAATGGACTGTCAAAACCCACGAGCTTCGAGTTGGACGACAATTGTAGATGAGATGAGGGGTACCTGCAAGACACTTTGATGCCAAAGTAAGGTTCAAAATGATGCAAGCAAGTGTGAGTGAGTGAGATAGAATGATTCAATACCTGACCCTCTCAAGTGGGAGGATATTTATAGTCCCTAACGTTGTGCCAAAGTCTCCAATGTTGAGTCACGATGAGACCTAACAATAAAGACTCCCAGGACTTACGTGTGTATGGAGTCCAACACGTGGTCTCCCCTTTGGTCAACTGCCGCGAGAAAGCAGGAACTGGACCCGTTATTCCCGGAGAGTAGGATGATGATGATGATATAGACACGTCGGTCACGTTTCCCAACGGACAAATGGGGAGTTGCCCAACGATCCCCAACTTAGACTGTTTGTCTTTAAACCTTATGCAAGGTGTTGAAGTGGACCTCCCCAACGGTGGGACAAACGCTGGCCCAGTCCAGATCAGTTCTCAAGAGGGAAAAATCGAGGGAGGAAGTAGGTGATAAGTGCTTTGTTGAATTATTATCCAGATCCTTAATTAAAGAATTACATGCATGACCTTTTCAACGACTTAGCTTCAGTGGTATCTGGAAAAAGTTGTTTCAAATTTGAATGTGGAGACATCTCTGAAAAAGTTAGTCATTTTGTCATATATATATATATATATATATATATATATATATATATATATATATATATATATATATATATATATATATATATATATATATATATATATATATATATATATATATATATATATATCAAGAAGATTATGACATTTCACGAAGTTTGCGAAGCTTTCTACCTATTAAATTTGGACGTTAACACAATTACTTATCCATCGAGGTGGTTGGTAATTTGCTGCCAACACTTAGAAGATTGCCTGTGTTATCACTATCAAAGTATATGAACATCACAACACTACCAAATTCAATTGGCGATATGGTGCAATTGCGGTATGTGGATCTCTCCAACACTAGAATCAAAAGCTTGCCTGATACAATATGTAACCTTTACAACTTGCAAACTTTGAATTTATTGGGTTGCGAGTTTCTCGCTAAATTGCCAGTGCATACGGGAAATTTAATCTGTTTACGTTACCTTGATATCAGTGAGACTAAAATAAATGAGTTGCCTGTGGAAATTGGCGTATATATCATCTCAAGTTGTATATATAAATTGAAAATTCTACACCATAATATATGCTTGAAAGTGTCTTTAATTCCTTGTAAATATATTTATTTTGATTTGAAAATTTTATTTTATAAGTATTAATAAATTGAGCCTCCAACATTGTGTACATGGAATAGTAAAAACAAAATATGAGCAAATTGAAAAGAAATTATAGTTGTATATTGGTATCTACCACACCATTTGTTCATGAATAAAACACACAACAGAAAACAATGCTTATTTCAAAATCAAACAAGACAAATACATATAACTCTGCTGAAGAAATAGATCCAACGACAGTGTCATCCTTCAACAGGACTTCTAATGCATGATTGTTGCCTATGTTGTATTGGCAGTGTTTTCCACCACTTCACAAAAGTAGAACCCTCCAAAAACACATCTTTACCAACTTCACCTTTCTTATACCACTCTTCTATCTGATCCTCCAATGCTGAAACTCTTTCCTTAACATCTTCAAAAGATTTCTTATCATTACTAAGATCCTCCACTTCAGCCCAAAAACAAGACTCAGAATAACCACCTTCTTTCCTCCTCTCACGATGCTCCAACCATCTCTGCGTATACCTGTATCTCTTTGGCCTTCCTCCTTTATCCATGTAAGCGCGTCCATCACGGTTCCTCGAATGTCGATAATAATTAGCAATGTCCAAAGGCTCAACTAGTCTTCTAAACTTTGTTCCTGCCTCAATCCAATCTTCTACCCCTTCAAATTCATCCGGAAGTTCATAGTTTAGTAGCTTTTCGATTATCTCGTCCCATACTCCTGCTAGATCTAGTCTCTTCACATTTGCTTTAAAATCTTCTGGATCTTCTTGATCCTTGAATCCGTCGTAGTAACCCTTTTTCTGATGCCCCCACATTTCTCTGTACTTTTCCACTTCCTTCATCTTTTCTTCCATAAATCCTTTCTTATCTTCTATGGCTTTTTCGTTGTTTCTTTTTCGTTCCTCTAATGCTGCTGCTGCTTGAATGCATAACCTTGCTCGTGTGCTCTAAAATTATTTACAACAAATTCATCATCATACAAATGTTATGCACAGGACAACACGGTCTAATAGGGAAGGATAAAAATGTTACATACCAGGCCAAGATCATTTAAGGCTGTGTTGATGGTTGCAATGTCACGGCCCGTAGTAGTATTCTCGGACAAAGGAATCTTCTCTAGTTGGTCCAAGTACACAGCATTCTGAATTCCTAGGTTTTTTGGCAATTCCGCGCCATAAGTGAAATGTTGTCGCAGGCTTTTAAGAGAAACTTCATCAGTTTCTGCTTCAGAGCTTAATTGAGCAGAGAAAAACAGGACCTGCAGAATTGCATCAGGGTTTTTGATGACAATCTGTTTTGCTTCATTTCCACTTGTAGTGCAGAAAATGTAAGTTCCGAAGGGTCTATAAGGGCTCAAAGGAACAAAATTTGCAATAGTTTCAAGTGTTGCTTCTGTTGTTCCCATTAGCTTGCAAGCAGCATGTCTTGTGACAGTTGCAGCACTTGATATCAACTCAAAGTAGAAATCTGAAGTTGAAGAGATTCTTCCGAGAGACGATTCGCTCATGAATGATCTGGTTTTAGGATCTAAGAGTTGTGAAACTGTGTCAAATCTCTGGTCAAAAGAAGATAGAGGAGCGAGGAGGATCCTTGGCACTATGTCATATCTCAGCACAAAATGGAAAAAGTAGTTAGACCACTTTTCTCTCCTTGTAGCATGAGAAAAAATGTGATTTCCAACTAATGGAGAACCAAATGTAACACATAGGGGAGGGATACCACCATGAGATTTTGGGTTTTGGTAGTTTTCTAAGGCCCAAAGAGTTGCCAGAATTGCCAGTGGTCCACCAGATGAATGTCCTGCAAAAATTATTTGCTTCTGCTTTTTTATTGCCGTGTCCACCTGCATATTCATTCAAATATATACTTTTCATAAATAAACAAAATAACATTTATTACATTTCTAACAAATTCATAGATGGTGCTGTTGGGGAGTCTGGGAAACACGAAAAATGTGAATAGGCTAAATGTCCAGGATTTAAGAGACTTTGACACGACATATCTGTCAAAAATCTTAAGGCAATAAGAGTATGTATCACCTTTTTTATATACTCAAATTTTCTCCATTTCTAGTTGACGCGAGACTTAACCACTCACACTTGAATTCCAACAATCTCCCTTATAAACGTGAGTCGGCCACATCACTAGCCTTGATCCATACAAGGATCCCACTTCTGCTCCCCTATCGAACCTAACCATGACTCTTATACTACTTGTTAAGGTATCCGGGGAGCCCAAAAATGTCAATGGACTAAATGCGCAGAATCCAAGAGATCTTGACACCATATATACACTCAAGCAAATCTACTTATACGTAGTTCGAGTTCGACTCATCTATTTTACACTCAGGCGAATCTACTTATCTATTTTAAAGGTAAGTATGTTTTTAGTTAGACAAGTTGGACAAACTTGACTCCTGAGAATTTGATTCATTAATGAAATTCTACAAATTAATCGCCTAATCAAGTTTCTAAGACAAACTAATAATGAGTTAGTTTGGTTCATTTTTACCACAAATAGATAGGATAGTTGTGTATGGGTGCTATAAAAGGAAAGAAAACTGAAAAGTGAAGTTTACGAAAATACCTGATCTTTAAGTAAAGACTTAGCCAAAATCTCTTGGAATCTTTGGAGAAAGAATTGATTAACCACAGCAGGATCGTTGTTACCAATACTTCTAAGTGAAGGAAATAGAGTGAGATCTATTTTGATTTGACCAAAATTAGTTTTGGAATACCAATCTTTGAAACCACCTGATGCTGGAAAGGTTATGATAACTTCTTTAGGGTTGCTTCTACTGTTCTTTTCAAGAAGGTAAGGTGTCTTGTAACTGTGAGCCTTCAAGGATGCAGAAAGTGATTTTTCAATTCTTTCTGGACTCAGTTGGTTGGTGTTGATTCCAGTTCCACCACCTCTTGATGCAGCCATGTGTCTGTCTCAGTTCTTGTTCTATGCTTGGTTCTCAGTTCCTTGTTTCTGTGTGGTGTTGGGGAAGTTTTGTTAATGTTAAGGTGCTGTGCTTACAAAGGTGAACACAGATGTTTTTTTATGTTGTTATGAAGACTTTGAGTAGTAGGTTGACTTAAAACTTTAACCTGATTGGCCTATTATAACTTCTTTCTTTTTTTAAATAATAATAATAAAAATAATAAAAATAATAAAATGAGGAAAGTGTTGCTGCTACTAGGAGGTTGAAACCAATGTTGTTTTCACACTTTCTGATTGCGCCAGGAAGGAACCATGCAGGGTTTTTCTTGGAATTTTCTACCGGTTTTCCCTTGAATTTCCTATTGCTAAGGTTAGTTACGTTTTATTTTTCATTTAAATAATTATAATATTAATTTGAAGTAATATATAAAATCAATTTTAATACAAAATGTAACACTGTAATTAATACATTTAAAATAATAATTATAGTTTTAATTATGATATAGAATAATACATCTTTCTTTTTTATATAAGGTACAAATAGACACAAATATTTTTTTTAGGTTTATTGAATAATCAATGTATTTAGTCTATAAACTGATTAAATATATTGATTATTCAATAAATCTAAAAAATAAATTATCTCTTATATAAAGGAATAGAGGTAGTCCAATACAATTTTGAGTTTTAAATTATAAGTTTTATGTTGAACATTAAAAAAGTTCTTAGTAACGAATCAGATATGGCGAGAACGTTAAACAAAACTGGACGCCGAGATTTTTTGGGGTACAACACTACCACTGGAGCAGGTACAGTGGCATAAGTAGTTTGTTTTGAAACATCTTCAGATCGAGTCAACCGAGACTTTTTGGATTTTATGGGGATAATAGGCGAATGTGTGTTGTCAACTTGCTTCTCTTCATGGGAAGAGTGTTCGCTTCTTAGGAGAGGGTCCAGAAGGGACAACAACGTGGGCTTCAGCAACCTGCAAATGGGTTGACATAATCAACGTGTTAAACAGGGGATGTGGTCAATTAAGAAAACACCAAAATTAACAAATTATCTGAGAGGAAGTTATAGGAGCTTCTTCAGCAGAAGTAGAAACACGTGCACTACTAGCAGCCCCCCTAGCATGCTTCATGTGCTCAACTCCTGAATAAAACAAAAGCGCAAGACAAAGTTTAAAGGTCGAAACTTGAAGAAGTGAGAAAGAAAATAAAGTGATCGACAATCACAATAGTAAGTCATACCTTTCTTAAATTGCTGATTCATAACTTCGAAAGCACTGGCCAATTGATGCTTGAAAGACTTGAGGTTCCAGTTTTTCTTTACGAACCTCACAGTCCACCAATCAAAAAACTCCTTCGTTGTATAGAAAAGGGGTTCGAAGGCGACGAAGTTCAGGTTGGGGGCGTCAACAACAAAGTGTTGGAGGCATTGAGCGCACTCTGCTTCATTGTAGCTTTGGGACGAAAGGTACATTGCGTCTGATGGCTTATAAAAGCTACAAGGAAAAAGTTGACACAAACCAAACTGTCTAGCCACCAGATTGGGTTGGTAACACAGAAGTTTTACCCCATCATTAGTGCCCACCCTAGACGCTATAAGCCTAAGGGTCATAAAAGCTTTCCAAATGGCTTTGTATTCAGGGACCTACGTTGGTTCAACAGGGGGAAATGGTCGAGTAAACCATTCAGGATCACATGGTCTTAAAGCAAATGGCGCCATACTGGGGTGGAAAGAGATACACCTGAAGAAAAACTTCAAGTACATTTCAAGTGCCTCATCTCGAGTCAGGTCATTGTTGGACAGCGTCATTATAGTATAACGAGGACCTTCAATGGTACGACTGGAAAAGAATGCCTCTTGTGCTTCTGAAAGCTTCAATTTAAGTTGATCCCCAAAGGTGGCATTTATCCACAATTGCAGCAGACAAAATGGCCCAGCAAGTAGATAGATGGCAGTTGGTGCAAGAGAGGTCATCTGGTCGACCTCACGCTGAACGATTCATAAAGCGACCCCAGGATGAGTTCACTCAAGCATGTGTTTCGACCGATGTGATGGTTATGCGCCAACACAATAAAACTTTTGGCCACGTTCAGAGACCTGCTGCAAAAAAATATACTTAGAAAGCCACAAGGCCAAAAAGGAGATGTGCTCTTCATCAGACACCGTGTCGACATCCTTAGCGTGAAAATGCTCCATGTACTTGGTGAAATAAGCAACATCCTTATAAAAAGGAATAACGTCTTCATCAACTTTAGTAGGGATGAAAGTTTCACCTGTATGACAAAGGCCAGTGATAGTCGTAACGTCGAACATAGTGGGAATTAGCATACCAATCGTAAAGTGGAAAGTGTTCGTGGAACTCTCCCAGGAGTAGAGGGCAGAAATCATCATATAGTTGCAATAACTAGGGTCAACCCTAAAAAGTTGAATCAAGTCAAAAATGCCTTGGGATTTCCAGACATCACCTTTAACTTTCTCCACCTTGTTTAACCATGCAATGTAATCCTGGTTGATAGCAGGAGCGGAGCGAAAAACTTTTGAGGTCCTATATATGTGGGAGAAATCTAAAGGGCACTTCTGGGCGATGGGGGCCTTATGCTTCTGTGAACAGGGAAGCAGTTTTTCATATTTTTTGGTGCCCTAATCTCATCAGGGGTAGGTCCCATGAGAGCATATGCATTTTTGTTACAGATAAATGGAAGCAATGGGTTAGAACAGAAATTGGGAATGTTGCATGCTGGGTTTGATTCCAACATAAAGGTTTATCAATCGACAACGGGGAAATCAGACATGGTGGAAACTAGCTCAACTGCGCGAGGAGCGTTAATGTGTTCAATAATTTGGCTTGGAGACACCATGGAAGGTGGTTGGAAGCTTTGACTAAAAATGAAGGAGGGTTTGTTTATGAAGTTTGGAAGCTAGAAGATTAAGGATGCAAAGAAAGCGTAAAGAAAAAATGAAGGAATGAAAGAGGTATTTATACCACCAAAGAAACCAAACATTTGGGAAGAAAGTGGGAAAAAAAACTGTGGCTACACTACCAACATATGTCAAACAGATGACAACTGGGGTGACGAAGTGGTAAGTTGGAGGCCATAATTATCCTAGGAAGTTAAAGCTAGAAAGTTGGTAAGTGGCAGTGTGATTGATGATGTAACGTTTGAAGAATAAGGTCATGATTACAATGACATCACTTCGTACTAAAAGAAAAGGATTAAAATGTCTGTTTACGCTCTTTCAGTCAAAAAGGACATTTTTGGGGGGTAATTTTTTGGCTATGATTTTCATAAAGAGAGAAATCCAAACCAAAAGTCAAAAAGGTTCTTTTAAGAGCATTAAAGAGCATTAAATTATGAGGAGTCAACTACATAAGCATGTCGACCATGGATGATTTCATAGGTAGTCGACCAACGTTTCATAAGTGCATCCGATCAGATATGCGTTCATGGTGAATGGATTGGGCCCAAGGGAGGTGAGAAGCCCAAAAGGGTTAAAGGCCCATAAGCGCCTAAACTGCAAAGGCGAAGCGTTATGGAGGGAGAACGTGGGATCAACCGTAAGAATGGAGAATGCGAGTTCATAAAGAGAAGTTACAATAGAGAACGTAGTTTCGTGATAGGTGTGATACGGTGGGAGAACTGACTTGAGGTTTTGCGTTTTGTGTTTGCAAATGTTTCGGTTTAGCAAGAGTCGCCACCGACTTTTTATTTTGTCCTAAGGAAAGGTCAAAAAGCACAGGAAAGACCTTTGAGATGTTTTCTTGGGTTCGGGGAGTAGATTACAAAAAGGGAAGGTGCAAGCACCCTTTTAATCCATGGTTATCTATGGGCTCTTAGTTACTTGTTTAGATCACTTGCTTTGCTTTTCCAATTGTTTGAAATGGTGCTTTGTGTGTGGTTTTGAAAGATGTTTTAAAAATAGGCCATCGTTGTGGCAACCTTTGTAATGATTCTTGTTTGAATGTATACAAAGATGTTTTGTCTTTTGAAAAGATTTCAATGTTTGAAAGTTTGATTTGGTAAAATGTTTTGAAATTGTGTTGTGAAGTGTGTTTGGAAATAGCAAGGATGTTTTGCAAGCATTTGATCAAGTAACTAAAAGCTATCTACCCTATTTTACTCAAAGATCTTTCCTTATGTTTTTAACCCTTTTAACGGTGTTGTTTCACTATTGTATTTGGTGAACAACCTTGTGTTAGAATGTTAAACGGGACATGTGCGGGTCATCTTATAGACCATGATAGCAATTGTGTCAAGTATCTTTGATAATTTTTGAGGGACTTGATCATTTTTGTTTAGGCAACCAAGATAGCGTCATCGAGGGACTATGATATTTTGTTTTGTTTTTGTTTTGCCAAAGGACCCAACATGCATACCATGGCCCATTTTTGAAGGCAATAAGTGGATTGTAACTCTAGGGGTACAAGTGTGTATTGTGTTTGATTTTCATGCATTTTTGTCTTTGATTAGGTCAAACTATTTGTTGATTTGGATTTTTGCATACAAACCCTAATTCTCTAATCATGGCATAATTGAAAACGTAAAGTGCGAGAATTAAAATTCTAAGCTATTACAACATGATTATGGAGATGGAGATACAATTTTGAATGTGGGTATTTGACAAGAAATATAAACCCTAATTTACTATTACATCCAAATTGAATTTAATTGCATAAAATAAATGGACAATATTTAAATATTCAAAACAAACAAATATATCAAATAATATGAAGTATGCAAAAAGGGATTTTTGTTCATTAGTGTATGTAAAATATTTTAATGTAAAAAATAAAGGAATAAATAAAAAGATTTATTTTTAATTGTTTAAGGGTAAAAACCTAATTTCTTTAAGAAAATAAATACATTATATTATTTATATACAATAAAATATATTAATATACGTAAAAATAAAATATACTTAGAAAAAATAGTTTTTATGTATAAATAAAAATAAAAATAAAATGGTAATATTTTGTATATTTATTTTCTAGA